CTTGATGGCTAAGTGTAAAAAGAAACTTACTTCTGCAAAGGAATGTGTGCAAAAGGTCCTGTTGTTGGGATTGTTCCACACAAATCATTGCCCGAGACATCACTGAGAAAAGGATGACAAAGAAAAAATGTTTTTAAGTACAAGCATGCAGTCAATAGGTTCGACAAAAGGGTTTGAAAGCTGCTACAGCCTGAGAACAATGACACAATGTTTAGCCAATAAAAAAGAAAAGCAATACAGAGCTGAAATAGCTACACTTACACAACTTTAAGGCTTGGGATTGCCGTGAGTTCTCTAGGGATTGGACCAGTTATCCGGTTGTCATTAAGTCGTCTGCCACATTAAAGAGTTTCTTAAAAACCCAAGGTATGAATAGATATCACGAAAGAATCAAGTAATGAATCTAATCACATGATGAAGAAAAACAGCCCACATAAAGCATCTTGTTCTTTTAGTCAATATTTGATGAACCATCTTGCAATTCTCGAAGAAATCTAAACGCCTACATCGTTCTGTGTGTCCGTGTCAGTGTTTGAGAGCAACTTACAGAAAGACTAGAGACTTCAATTTTCCCAAAGAAGTAGGAATCTTCCCAGTAAGATTGTTGTTGTACAGATCCAAGCTGATGAGATTCTTCAGATTTCCAAGTTCGGAAGGTATAGTTCCTTCAATGTTGTTTTTGTAGAGCTCTCTGTGTCAATCATAGGACAAGTAAAGTGTTAATCTACAGTGTCTATTACGTAGTCAATCTCATAGCAGGCAGTTCTGGTGCATATTTTGGTATACAACTTTATTTGCACTATCTATTTACATAAACGCTGGCATTTGAAAAAGTAAAATTTTCAGAAAACGAAAGTGAAAAGAGTGATGATGGCATACAGATACTGCAAATGTTCGAGCTTCCCAAGCTCAGGCGCAAGATGTCCAGATAGGTTTGAATTACCCAAATCACTGCAAAAATATGTAATGTCAGAGATACGATTTGAGAGCAAAATACCAATATTTATATCGCAGAAGAAGAAGAAGACAATAAAGCACGAAAGATAAGCATTAATTACTCAAGTAGCTGTTCTCTTGATTCATCAAACAGTTCTGAGAGATAATCAGAAGTAATCAATTGCAAAAATCTTCTATTCTTCTAAAAGCGTAAGAACTCACAAAGCAGGGAACAAAAAGTAATCTAAATCAGTAACAAAGCATAGTGACAATCATGAAGTAGAAGCAAAATTAAACTGCTTAATACTTGGAATAACTATTTTGGGATGATTGTTTCGAGACTTTCAAGGAATCCAATGACTAGAAAGGTCTACACAGTGCAAAACATAGGAGCTTTAATTGCCGTACTCTGCATTAGAAGCTGAGAAAAGGACCATATCATAAACAGTTTCATGAACCTTAAAAGAAACCAAATCAAAAGTTACTCCGATTTGATAAACAGCAAGAAATCATCACAACATACAACCAAATCCCCACTTGACTTAACATCATCAGTTAAAGAGAGAACAAACATCTAGTGAAGAATTCATGTCCAAAAATAGAGCAGAAATTCTGAGAAAAATGGAGACTGTATCGATAGATTCGAGGCGAATCAAGATAGGATCTAAGAGAAAAAAAAAGAGGATCTTACACTCGAGTGACACGGTTGTCTTGGTTACAGGTGACATGGAACCAGGTACAGGGATTAACAAGAGTCGGATCCCAGCTCTGGAGAACACGGTCTGGATCCGACAGACTCCGGCGAAGAGCGTAAAGAGCATCTCCCTCGGAGTTTGCTTCGACAAGGTGAATCAAAGCTAAGGTTAGGGCTAACGAAGCTGCGAGAAGCTCCCACCGAAAGTTTCGAGACGCCATGTGAGCAGTCGGAGGATAAAGAGAGAGAATTGAGCGGAGAGGGAAGGGAACTTTCCGATGAGAGAAATTAGGGTTTGGTTCCTCTTTTTTCCCCTCTTTGTTGATGTTGAAGAAATCGATTTATGCTATTGCCGTCGGAAATGACGGGGAGAAAAATACAC